TGCCACAGTCCTAAGTGCCTCCCTGCTCCTAGGCGCTGTCTCCGCTGCACCCCACAGTGCATGCAGCTCCAGGTCTGTCTTTCTGAGATGCACATCTGGTCGTGCCAGTGTCCTACTTAAAAACAGAGCGTGCATCGTCCGCCTCTGCACGCACTGTTCTTTGTGCCCCAGGACCTCCCCCGTGTCCCATGGATGCGTGCTGTCTTCCTTTCTAAGTGGACCTCATAAGTCCACTTCTCTGGGAAGGCGTCCACGTGCGCTGAGGGCCGCTTCCCTCCTCCAGCTCCTGGGAGCAGCTGTGGCTGCTTCCCTCACAGCACCCGAGACACGACTTGTGCTCATCTGGCTGTCTACTCGACGGCGAGCTTCTAAAAGCAGGGGTCGGGGCAGGTCACCCTTGCTGTCCCCAAGACCCAGGATGGAAGCCAGGTTACTGAATAGGAATTCCAGGATTTCTTCCGGTGAACGTGTTTCCTGAATGTTGCCTGGTGCCAGCCACTGTGCGGGGTCTGGAGACAGAGCAGGACCAAGGTGGGTTGCTGCCCGCACAGGCCCACAGTAGCAGAGGAGACAGAAGGCAGGCCTTTGTGATGTAGGGTGACCGGTGTCCTGATGGGGTGCCTCAGGGGGCTAGAGGGGCACCTAATCCAGCGGGGGTGGGTGTCGGGGGACACAAGGTAGGAGGGGAGGCATCCCAAAAGAGACCTTGGCTGCACAGCACAGAGGGGAATTGGCACCCTGGGGTTGGGAGGCTTGTTTGTCTGGGTCTGAGGCATGCTTCCTTCCTTCCTTCATTCATTCCACAGATCCCTTCTCTGCCTGGCCCTGGGTGGGTATTGGAGGTTCAGCAGTGGCTAAAAGATACAACCTTTTGCTTGTGGAGGTTGGTGGGGGCCACCTCCGGCAGGGCTTTGGTCACTCCTGGAGCTGGGCGGGTCCTCAGGCATCTCTCAGAGTTAAGAACAGAGTTCATTCTGGGCTTTTCTGAGGTGGTCTTGGGCCTGCCTTTCTGGAGGCCTAGGCGGCAAGGGGAGGCTGCTGGCCCCAAGACAGGCTGGCTCACCAGAGAATGGAGCTAACACAATAGCTCGATTGTAAGAGCCGTCCCCCCACCCCCAACATGTTCACATTTCTGTGATCAGAATGTGTCTTATAATTGATGTGTACGTGTAACGGGACATTGTGACGTCCGTGTCCCCCCCCCCCCCCCCCGGTTGTTATTAAACCAGTTGATGGGATGGAATAGGGTTTTGTCATAGAAACTACCCTTGGAATGAGGTTCCAAGGTGACCTATCTATCACCACAAACTCCAAGCTGTCAGTGGCTGAATAATCCTTCTATTTGGGGTGTTTTATATAAATTCACAGAAAAGAAATGCTGTTGCATGAATTGATTCATTCTTGAGATTTCCGCAGTGTGTTTGTCCAGGATGGCGGCAGGCTGGGGTCAGATGAGCCCAGTTCTCAGTCTAAGTCCTTGCTTTTGGGCCTACTCGTAGGGGGACCTCAGCAGAGGTGCTGCACCCTCTGGGCCTCAGTGTCCTCCTCCGCCAAGTGGGGACAGCACCACCCATCTTGCAGGGCCCTCTGAGTGCCTCATACCTCCTTTTTATGAGTCGCACACTGCTGTGCCTTTGTGTGATTGTTAGTCACCTTCTGCCTCCTCCCCCCGGGCAGTGGGCCCACGGAGAGAGCCCCCCCGCCAACTGCTGTCAGTTGAGACATTTCAGTGAAACGGGCTGTGACTCAGAAGGAGGCCAGAATGCACCTGCCTTGGGTGGGGTTGCTGCCTTATGTTGGTGCTGACGTAGCTGCCAGTTGCCATCTCGCCGATGTCTTCTCAGGAACTGCTCAAGACACCCAGTATAGACCTTATATAGACCCAGTATATGGCCCAGTATAGACCATGAGGACCTGTGCTCTGATGCTGCAGCCCTTGGAATCTCCAAGTAGGGATAGGAAACGCATGAATGGCATCTCGGTCATGTTGGCGAGTGTTGGCCCGTGCTCTGCCCGCTGAGTTGGGGCCGGGGTTCCATGGTGCTGATGTAGGGGACAGCGGTGCAGAGCACCGGCACGTGGGTTTCTGACGTCAGGAAGCCTGGCTTGGAATTGGCTTGCCTCTTGCTGACCACATTCCCACAGGCACACAGTGTGGCTGTGCTGAGGCTCATGTGTAAGAGGACCGTCAGTAAGGCCTGTTCTGTCTCAGAGTTGACTTCCGTGACAGGCAAACGAGGCATTGGGATTGGGGAAGCACATGGTGTTCAGATAGATGGGGCAGCATTCTATAGGACAGTAACCAAAACAGATTTGGCTACTGGGGGCACTGGGCAGGGACCCAGTAACAGGGTCAGGAAAAGAGAAGTCAAGATGCCTTGAACAGGGCAGTACAGTGCAGTAGGGAAAGGCATGGACTTTGGAGTTAGACTGACCAGGGTTCAGGTCCCACATAATCACCACTCGTGTGACCTTGAGCCACTTACTTAACCTCTCTGAGCTTCAGTTTTGTCATCTGTAAAATGGGATGCTAAAACAAGAACCTATCTCCTAGGATTATGGTGAGGACGAAATGAGGTAATGCATGTGCCTTACTTAGCCCACTGGGTCTTAATAAATCATCGTGTCATGGAGGAGTGGATGTGAAATGGCTTAGTTGTTCTACCCATGAGCTTGCAGCAATACTGTGCAGTACCCTCCTGGGCCATGTGCTTTACACATTTTTGTGTGTTCCACCACGACTGCCTTTATTGAGGAATAATTAATCCCAGTTCTTGTTAGCCAGGCCTGCAAAGTCAGTCAGAGCCTCTGCACAGTGACTCACCCTGTTCTAGGCTGGAGCAGGCAAACCTACAGTTGCCACAGCCCAAGAGGCCTTGTGCTGGAGGAGCAAATATTTAATGTCAGCTTTTCAAAATGCTTCCACGAGTTCAGGGAGCCCACGGAGACCTCTGGGGTCACAAGAGAAAAGTTGCCGTCCTGGGCTAAGATGCACCAGTGTTGGCTGGTGTGAGATCTGCCAGACCTGGCCACTGATGTGGCCAGACTTGCTGGTGGGGGTGGGGCCTGGAGGAGAGGTCCTTGCCGCTCTCTCTGCAACCCAGGACAGGCCTGGCATTGCTGCTCCCGCTTTGTGGACCTCCTGCAGTTCAGAGATGGCTCACTCTCCTTACCACCCCGCTTCTGGCGGGGAGACCAACAGGCAGACAGATAGCGCCTGTGTGGGTGGAAGGATGCTCTAACTGTAAGGTTGGTGTCGGTTACACCAGAGGTCCTTTTGTCAGTGCGACTACGCTCTTCCTCAGACTGGACTTCTAGGACCCAGACATGCTGCAGGTAGCCCCAGACAGATAGCCTCCTCAGGCTCCTGGGAGGCCCCCAGTGTGGGTGGCAGTAGCGGCCACAGCATTAGCTCGTCCTTGTGGGTTTTCTGACAAGCACATATATCAGGACAGAGAGAGAATCAGAGTCTCTGTTCTTCCCTCTCCGAGATTCTGATTGTTACGGTTCATAATAGTCAGTAACTAATGTTTTCTGAGGGGTTGCTGCACACCGGGCACTGTGCTAAAGCCTCTCCAGACACGAGCCGGTGTGCTTCCCCAGAAAGCACTGGAATGTGGTTCAGAACACTGGCTTCAAGTCCTGGTGCTGGCACTCACTCACCATGTGGCCTTGGACACATCACTTGCCCTCTGTGCCTCAGTTTCCTTACCTGTAAAATGGTGATGAATAATAGTACCTGTGTTATACACTGATAAGTTGGCTCAGGGTAAGTGCACCCTGAGTGTCAGCTATTACTAAGAGATGGGCACTGTTATTATCCCATTTTACAGAAAAGGAAACCGAGGCTTAGCGAGGCTCATGTTCTGCTAGAGTCACTTGGCTCATGAGGAGAAGAGCTAGGATTTGAACCTCACTCATGAGCACTGCCTTACTCTGTCTCAATTTGGAAAAATGCATGTGGGGAGCATTTGGCCAGCTTTGGAAGTGACATTCTCAGCTTTCCTCAGAGCTCCTTTTCTAAGTAACGTAAGGAGATCCTTTTCTAAGTAACCAAACTGGCCTCTGGGAGCTCTCGTAATCCCGCAGCAGAGGCAATAGCTGACCCGTGACACACATCACAGAAGGAGAAGGGAGGGATCAGCAAAGAATTTCTGTTTGGAAATGTTATCTAATGCTGAGCGCTTTCAAGGGACTCGGAATCTGCAGCCCGTGCTGTCCCCACAGTGGGGTGCCAGGAAGCCATGCTCCCCTCTTTCCTGGCCAGGTACAGCCTGCTGGAGACCTGGGTACTCTCCAGTGCTAGGAGAGAGCAGGCGTCCTCAGACATGCAGGGAAAGCCAGGGCAGCACTTCGCCCCCAGTGACAGTGGAGAGATCTCTGGCCGCCGTGTCCCTTCCCGCACTGGACGCCTCAGCTCCTCTCCTCCAGGCTGAGGCTGTGAGCAGAGGCTGCGCGGCTCCTGGGAGCTCGCTGAGCAGGGGCTCCCAGTGCCCGCAGGACAGCTCTGCTTTTGCTTTAGCCTCGGCACCGTCTCTAGCTGGGGTGCGTAGGAACCCCAAACTTAAAAACGACTTCCCGAGTCCTCGGGCTACCCCTGCCATCTGCGGCTCCTTCGGTCCACTGCCCCTCTCCAGTACACACCTACACACAAGCACACACTCACGCGCACACTTGCCAGCTGCCAAGCTGTGCCCAGGAGCTGCCTGCCTTCACCCCAAGACACTTTGTCTGAAGAAGAGTGGGGCTTACTGCTGAAGCCCTCGACACCCCAGCCCGTGATCTTATGTCCCCAGAACACCACCCTCTGCCCAAGTGTCCACAGGTCCTGCCCAGCAAATGCCTTCTTTGGCTTCAAGTGAGGGCAAGAGTGACCCCATCTGGGGTCCCGCTACACACACACCCCCAGTGGAGGGGTCAGGGTCCTTGAACCCTGAGCCAAGGGGCCAGCCGCTGCTTCTCACCCCTTGTCCCTCGGAGCCACGGAGCCGGCCCCTTACCTCTTCCCTCCTGCTTGGCTCCGGGGCAGCTCCTCACATGCTTCACCGCGGCCGTCAGTGGGGCAGCCTGTCCATGGCCCCCGGGAGGGGTCCCTGAGTCGCAGGCCGGCCAGCCGCCGAGCAGCGCTGCCTCACTGGCCTCTGTTCGCTCTGCTCTGCCTCCACAGCAGGGCTCTGGCCGAGGCTGGGCCGGGGGCTGGCCGGGGGACCTGCTGGGGCACTCACAGGCTGCCTCCTCTTGCAGCGGGGGCCGGTGGCTGCCTCAGGGCCATGCTCTGCAGCCCGGAACTCAGCAGCACTGCTCAGGGCTCGGGGTCCATCCTCAGGCCGTCTACAGCAGCCTCATTTGAACTCCTAACTCCTTTGTGGAGCCTTTACATGCTGCCGGAGGAAACTGTGAGCACAGCCTGACCCTGGTTGGCTGCAGGCACTTCTCTCCACCCACCAGTGCAAGAGGATCCCCCAGGCCCCAGAAAGGCTCCCGGCCTCCCCTCAGCCCCAGACAGAGGCGGGCCGCCCGGTGATGTCACACTAGCTCCGGCCCCAGCTGGCCTGGCCCCTCCCGCCCAGCCCGCTTTGGCGGCCTCCGCGGGCCCCCTCCTTCCTTGGCACGAGCAGCCTGGCCAGCTCTGCTGCCTGGCCCGCCCGCTCCCAAAAGCCCGAGCAGCTCCTGGTGCGCTCTGCTGAGGCTGGGAGCTGCCCCTCTAACTCGAGTAGTGGGTTTAGATCCACTCCAGCTGTGCAGGCAGCGAGCTTGTGGGCAGTGGGGAGCCAGGTCCTCCCCCTGGATCCCTCCCTCCCCCGTGCACTGCCCACAGGGCCCCAGGTGAGCAGGTGGGGCAGCCCGCACAGATGGCCTCTCCCCATCAGCTGCCCTCCTTGGAGGTCTCACTCTCACCTCCAGACCCTGGGGAGGGAACCCCAGGCCGTCTGCACAGAAAGCAGCAGGATCTGTGCTGTGAACGCTAGCAGGAGGCAGTGGCTGAGACAGTGGAAATACAGCAGGCTGCCGTCGGGGCGGCACCCAAGAAACGCTCTGTCACTCCCTACCTGAGTGGCCCTGACTAAGTCACTTCACCTCCCTGGGCTTCCCTTTCCTGCATCAGTAAACAAGCTAAGACGTAATCTCCCCCAAAGGGCTGTGGTGAGGATTCTGCGAGGCCACGTGGAAAAAGGGCTTGGCATGGGGCAAGGACGCCTCAGTGGACTGAACTCAGAACTCGAGTTGGGCAGGCCAGGGGTCGCACTCCCACAGCCTCTGTTGTGACCTCCTGTCCGGCTCTTCGAGGAACACATAATGGGAGTCCATCGGGCTCCTGTCACTGAGTGGAGCTCATGAATGTTTATAGAGTCAAAGCAAGAAATAAGGAGACAGCACCAGACCCCACAAAGTGAGCCATCCTACCGGCTTGGCACAGGCAGGCAGAGGAGGGAGGAGGGTGAATCTGGAAGGGAGCAGCCGCGTGTAGGTTTGTCCCTCTGCCAGGACACCAGCCTGTGAAATATTGGTAGTGACTGTTATTTCCTTTAAAGAAACTTTTTTAGTGATGATGTTTGGGTACAAACTGGGAGAGAAACTATCTTGGGGTTCTCCCCCAGCCCCTAAGCGCAGTGTATCATGTTCGTGGTTCCTGGGCAAACTGATCCCCCACACGCCTCCCTCTCAGGATTGCCGCTCCTGTCTTTTGCCTCAGCTTCTCGCAGCCTGCTCAGACCTTCTCCCTTTTCCGTCTGTCAGTCCCATCCCTTTTTGGAAGGTGAGTCTTTACCAGAAGATCCCAGCATCTTACAGGTCACAAATTAACCAGACAGCTGGATTGCACAGAAACCCTGCCCACACCCAACGTGCCTTCTACACTGTGCATTCTCCAAAGGGCCTGGAATGTTCCCTTTGGGCCATGGGGGGCCCATGGTAGTGGGGCCGTGGCAGGCTAGGGGCTCGAGATCAGCAGAAGCACATGGGATGGGGCTGAATTCTTCTTGAGCTGCCCCCTTGACAGCGTGGAGGCTGGAATATGTCCTGTTTTCCCCTTCCTCCCCGCTCTCTCTGTGTCTCTCTTCTCTAGGATGTGTTTATTGGGAACCTGCTCTGAGTCAAAACCAGGAAGCCAAAGTCCCTGTTCCCACAGAGCTGACAGTCAGGAGGGGAGACAGATGGACAGACTAGGGTACCTGAGAAGTGCTGGCACAAGGGGACTATCTAAGCAGGAGGCCTGGTTACGCCTGGGCAGGGAGTCAGGGCAGGCTCCCTGAGAAAGTGGAGCTTCAGCTGAAACCTGAAGGCGGGTCAGAATTTGCAGGTGGTCAGGTTGGAGGAGGATGGTGTGGGCAGAGACAATAGTGTGCGAAGACCGTGTGGCAGATTGCCTGTTCAAAGATGGCCCCAACAACATCTCCAGGTCCATGATGAGACCTTGACACTCCTCCTGTTGAGGTGGGGTCTTTGCCCCTCCCCTTGAATCTGGGCGGGCTTGATTTGTTGGTAACTGATAGAATGCAGTGGAAGTGACACGACCTGCCTCCCAAGGCTGTGGGAGAAGGGGCTGTGCAGCTTCTGCCTTGTTCAGTGGGATACTCTCTTTTGGAGCCCTGAGCCCAGCTGGAGCCTGAGATGTCCAGCTGCCTGGAAGCTGCCACGCAAAGGCCACATGTAGCATAGATCCCAGCTGGCAGCCAGCATCATCCCTCAGATATGTGACGAAGGATGCCTCTAGATGACTCCAGGCCCTAGCCATTTAGCCACCCCCAGCTGGAGAGTCTTCCTGCTGAGGCCCCAGATTTGGGGAGCAGGGATGAGCCATTCTGCTGTCCCATTATCTGAATTCCTGACCCACAGACTCCATAAGGAGAAGAAAATGGTTGTTTTAGGCCCCAAGTTTTGGTGGCGTGTTGTTACACAGCCATAGTACTGGGAGCAGCCTGGAGGTGAGAGCAGATGAAGGGAGTTCTTTTGAGAGCTCATGGAAGTGCAGTTTGGAGGAGAGAAGGGGAGCGTGGCGGAAGATGAGGCCTTGTTAGAGGTGGGACTTTATCCCAAAGGTGTCGACAGCCACTGAAAGGCTCTGAGCAAGACGGTGTTCTGACTTGCTTTTATTCTTAAAAGGCCCCTGAGTTGTTGAGTGGACTGGATTGATTTTTAAAAAGGGAGTGATAATCTTCATTCCTCAGGGTTAGTGTAAGGATGAAGATGAGGCAGCTACAGCACTGAGCACGATGCCTGGCACTCAGCATTCCTCCATTGCTCAAGGAACAGGGGCTACTTCTGCTTGCTTCCCTGCTCCCAACTGCTGCCCACTCTTACCCAAAACATCCTCATCCAGCTTCCAACTGGATGGCTCCTGCATCCTGGACCCCCCCCCCCCCAAACTCCTCAAGAAGCCCCATTCCCACATTTCCTCCTACCTGTTGGACCAAAGCATTGTGTGACTAAAGCATTTGAGGAGAAGGGAATCTTCATTTTTCTTTTTATAGTTTTTATCAGGACGAAAAATGTGTGACGTTTACATGGTGGTAGAATACAAAAAATCTCATTTGTGTCTCACAGTTTGTATAAATGATTTCATGTCTCGTCACCTTTCTGACAGTTACAGTTTTTTTTTCTGTTGGGAATGTAGGGATGTTCTATGAGCTACTGTGTATGTGGTGTGTGTGTGTGGGGGGGTGGATAATGTGTTTTATAGAGGGGGTGCTTGGGAGGGGGCTCTGCTGTGTCTTACAACTTCAGAGTCTTATCAGCCTTTCAAGCTTCACATATCCCAAATTGAGTCTTTTTCCTTTCATCACTTTTTAAATGGCTTCCCACTGTTCTCTGGCCTACACTGTTTCTGATGAGAAGTCAGCTCCCTTCCTTACTCTTGTTCCCGTGTACATAGCCCGTTCTTTTCCCTCTGACTCCTTTTAAGATTTCTCTTTGTCTTTGATTTTTGGCACTTTGTGGTGTGACTAGGTGTGGTTTTCTTTGTGGGCTTCACTGAGCTTCTTGGATGTATGGGTTGATGTTTTTCACTGTTGGGGAATGTGGGGGGAATTTGGGGCCATTACTTCTTCACATATTTGTCTGCTTTATTCCGTCTCCTCTCCCTTTCCGGAACTCCATTTACGTACTTGGTATTGTCCCAGTCCACTGAAGCTCAATTTATTTACTTTTATCTTTTTTTCTCTCTCTGTGCTTCAGTTTGGATCCTTCCTATTACTTGTCTTCAAGTTTGCTGATCCTTTCTTCTACAGGGACTAGTCTGCTGTTAATTTCATCCAAAGTGCATTTTATATCAGGTACTCTATTTTTTGGTTTTAGAGTTTCCACTTGGTTTATTTTTAGAGGTCTCATTTCTCTTCTGAGATTCTCTATCCACTCATTCATTCTATCCTTCATTTCCTGAAAATCGTGTGCTTATTTATAATAGCCATTTTAAAGTCCTGACTTACTAATTCCAACATCTGAGTCATCAGTGGGTCTGCTTTTATTGACTATTATTTCTCTTGATCGTGAGTCCCATTTTCCTCCTTCTCCACATCTGTAATTTTTTAATCGTATCCTGGACATTTTGCATGATACATTGCAAAGACCCTGAGTTGTGTTGTCTTCCTCTGAGGAACGTTGTGTTGTGCTCTGGCAAGCAATTAAACTGCTGGTGTATCCCTTTGATCTTGTGGAGGCTTGATTTTTAGGTTTTGTCAGGCAGGTTTATTTCGGTTTTGCCTGTGGTCCTAGGGTATAAGTCTTAGTCCTGGGCTTACTTGTGAGGCATAGGCTTTCTGGGATTAAATTGAAAGCCTTAAGTGTTTGCTAAGGCCCTTTAACTTGGCAGGACTTGAGCTCCGAACTCCATCTTCCTGGCACCTGCTGGCCTCTCTGCCTCCTGGCTACTGCTGTCTTTTGGGCTCCTTGGAGTCTCTCTTAACACACACACAATTTAGGGGTTAACGAAGGAATTTGTCCAGTAATTTTGGAGCTCCCCCTTCTGTGGTTCTCTTCTTTCTGGCATTTCCCCCTTCATTTTCCCATGCTCAGTGTCCGACCTCTGTCTCTTCTTCCCAGCTGGTCATACTGCTGCGTTCTGTTTTAGTTCTGTTGTCCTGTGTCTCACCATGAACTGAGAAGTGCCCTGGTGTGCTTCCTATCTTGCAAGGACCATGTCTCCTCCAGTTTCTGTTGCTTTGGGTTGTTCTCAGGTGCAGTTGTTTTCGTATATTGTCCAGATTTTACCGTTGCTGTTGACCAGAGGGTTAGTTTAATACAGTCTACTGCTCCATTTCAGGAACTGGAATTCCCCACATCCCAACTGAATTTGTCTGCTCACCCAAACCTCCTGTACTCCTGCTGCTGCTGTTGTCCTACCATAAACCCAGCCAGCTGGTTGGTGGTTCTTAATTCATTTCTCCGTCTTCCCTGCTCTTGGTCACAGTCTGTTAGGAAATATCAGCGCCAATAATTCATAGGTTGGTTCAGCTCAGTCTACCCACTTGGGCACTAGAAGTTGAAAAAAATGTGTAGTCCCCATAAGCCTTGTTAAAGCACCTTAGGTAGCTACCTGTGATGTGTTAGACACCAAGCT